GAGATCATGTCATTACACTCCAGCCTGGGTGACAGAGCAAGACTCCATCTCAAAAAAAAAAAAAAAAAAAAAAAACTACCACATCTGTGCCCACGTCTGTGCCGCTTGCTTGCCACTGCCTGCCTTTCTCCCTCCTCGGTGACTCACTGGTGTTATCTCCAGGCCCAGGCAGGGCCTGCTCTGCATGTCTAATCCAGCCCCAGCGATGCTGCGGAGGTGCCCGGGAGGGAAGGGCAGCCTCTGTGCCTTTCCCTGGTGCAGCCTCAGCCTTGACAGGAAGGAGGGAGTCCTGGCTGCAGCCAGAAGGGCCACATGCGCCCACACAAACACACACAGCCCCCGACACACACAGGCCCAGTCTACAGATACCCCTGCCAAGGCAGGCCAGCCAGTCCCATCACCAGAACTTCCGAGACATGCATCTCTACACAAACACACAAACACACAACACACACAAACACAACACACACACAAATATATACACAAACACACAACACACAAACACAAACATATACACACACAAATATATACACACACAAACACACAAATATGCACACAAACACACAACATACACACAAATACGCGCACACGCGCGCGTGCGCGCGCACACACACACACACACACACACACACGTCCTGGCCTGGCTGCCTTTGGAGTTCACGTGGCTGTCCTCTCCCCACCAGACCAGCCATCCCATAGGAACCAGGCTAGCCTGAGCTCCTGTAGTTTTGTCTCTAGCTACGTCCCTGGACACACCTGCATCCCCAGCTAGGGCACAGCATGGGGCACAGCACTCCCCAGGCCTCCCTAGGACTAGCCAGGCACCAGGGAGGGCTGGGACTCCAGGGCACGTTCTGAGATCCGCCTGCATGTGCCAGGAGCACATTTCACTCTGACAGCCTGCTTTATTCCCATTTCACAGATGAGAAACTGAGCTCAGAAAGACAGAATGACTGTCCTCAGACCGCATAGCCAGTCAGGGGCTGAGCCAGAGCACAGGTCTACCTGGGGGAGCCGGATCTCTTAACCACCGGCGCTGCTTCCGCAATGCGAGCTGGAGGAGACAGGGTGCGTGGTAGGGTGGAGGAGACAGGGTGCGGGGTGGAGCTGGAGGAGACAGGGTGCGGGGTGGAGCTGGAGGAGACAGGGTGCG